GACATAATTTCTCTCAAAGCAGCTATTGTTGCACTACAAAACGATGTCAAAACATGAACATCTGCAGCTCCAACCACTAGTTCAACACCTAAAAGTGACTTCGAAGAGATAGTACAAGAACTTACTGAAAGGCAAAATCGTAAAAATAATATCATAATATTTGGATTAGAGGAACAACAGCAAACAACAAAGGAGGAACGTATAAGTGCAGAAAAGACGGATGCCCTGAAAATATTAACATTCCTTTCTCCTCAGTCAACGTGGATTACAAATATCAGGCGCTTGGAAAAATTTGATAAGGATAGACCACGACCCAGACCGCTCAAAGTCACCTTGGGAAATAGTGATCAGGTTCTGGAAATACTCAAAAAATCTATCAACTTGAAGAAATCTGATTTTAAAAATATTTCAGTATCTTCAGACCGAACTCCCAGACATAACAGAACAGCATAAATATGGCATAACAGAAGGCATAAATATGGTCTACAAATTTTAGTTTTCTATCGATATGTAGGTACCCCTGAAAATTTTAAGCTACTTTTGTTCTCAATGATGTCATTCCCAATGGGTGTATTGTTAAATTCACATCTGAAAGTTACTATGTTAGTTTTCGAAATATTTAGAGACAGGCGATTTGAATCACACCAACTCTTTACTTTCATCATATCGATGGATATGATTTTAGTTGAATCATTTGCATTGTCCGATTGCTAAAAAATGGTAGTATCGTCTGCAAATAGTGTGAATTTTCCTGAGATATTTATACTCGTCAAATCGTTGAGTTAGATGAGAAACAATGTTGGCCTTAGTATTGAACCTTGAGGCATACCATTACGTATTTTCCCAATTTCTAAGTGATGGGTTGTTTCCATCATCTGACTACAACCTGATATGGGCTGATATGGGCTGAACCAGCTCAGTATCACCCCTCTAAAGCCGTAGTGGGGAAGCTTCCGCAACAGTATTTCGTGATACAGCTGCAGCAACCTCGCCACTATTGATTCCAGTATAAACTTTTCTCATAAGTGAGAAAATTGCATTATTAGTGTGTGTCCCTGTATCGTTTTAGATGGGCTGCACTGTATGTGTTTGTCGTTTGACAAACACACTCCACCTAGAGTAGTTTCGTGTTTATGATTTTCATAGAAATTTCATCATTGCCAGACATATTCTTGTTTATATATCATGTAGATTTTATTTCAACCCCAGTAAATTGTTTGATTGAATATGAAATTCATGAGGAATATACTTGTGTGGCAAATACCTCAATGATATTGCTTGGGTTCTGAGAGATGACGTGAGTTTTTCAGCTATTGTGCAATGAAAATCATTGAGAATGTAGGGAAATAAAGTGTTTTTTTCAGGTAAATAATTTGATTTGCCTTCTAGAGTATCAGCTACAGTCCAGTTTTCTTTCAATTCATTATCGACTTTTCCATTATTCATAATAATTTTTTTCGAACACTTGATAACTTGCCTGTAAGTTTGTGACAATTACTGAAATATCCCAATGGAAAATTACGGAAATAATTTTTTTCTTGTGTGTTATGATCTCAGGTTGTTTGCAGATATTCGAATGCCTTGAGTTATCCAAGTTTTTTGTTTTTGATTTACTTTTGAATACACTCTTGAAAATATTGCATCAGTAAATTTTAAAATACATATAATGGATCCCTCTCATACGAAATACTATCTTATGGAATGAGGAAAAATTTTTCTTCAATATTTCTCAAATGTTTCTGCTATATATTCTACCAAACCTGTGAAGTCAACTTTCTCCTATCTGAATTAGTTTAGATGTAAGCATTAGTCGTTGATGAATATTTCGAAATTGGTGTAGTTTATGGACCACCATTTTTAGGTAATGAGGTATTATTGAATCAACAAATGCTTGACTGTTTGTGAATGTTTCGTCATTGAAAATGATATTGAGTTCAACAGATGCAATGATTTGTGAGATTACAGATGAAAAGTTTAACAGAGGGTTCTCAAATATATTCAAAAATTCGATTATATGAAATCTTGGTGGTCTGTGAATGCATACAAAGTCAATGTCGTTTCTGCAATGGAAATTCCAAAGGTTCTTCTGGTTTTGGCCAGTGTTGATGAAAACAAAATTTGAAAATTTATACTTCTCTAGAAAAATTAGAAGGTAATTCACCTTGCTGCGTATCAATTGAATGTTCAGTAGTAATGATGAAACTATTTCATTGCTACACACTTTTTTTTCTTTTAGATTTCTTGAGTTTGTATACACCATCTTCTACTCTAAAAAACAATCCAGTATCATTTCGGAAATGTTTACTACTTTGAGTCATTTCTGTTCCAACACAAATCTGCAGTTTTTGGAAATTATGATGCAAATGATTGTAAATGTCATGCCTAAGAAAAATGAAACCTGCATTCAACAATTTGAGAATCTCGAAAAACTTGTTTGGCCCTAGTATGTAGTGCTTCTTCGGAATTCATTACTATTATTCATGCTTCCGTTTTTTTATCAAGATTTTCACACTTCTACTTCAATAAGGTTTCAATATGAGTTGTCTTTCAACAAAAATTTTATAAATGAGTATCGTTTGACTATTCTTATTGACATCTTAAGAGAAACATCCTCAACCTTTACCCTATATTTAATCAAACACGGCCTAGTAACCGATGATTGATCTGAAATTCATGAAATGATAGTAATAATTAAATTGATATGTCTAGTTGACAAGGGAATTTTTCTATCATCTTCATGAAAACAACAAATACGCCTCCTAAAAAACTAGCAAAAGAAAGGAAAACTATTTGTGGATTATAATATGAATCCCCATTCAGGATCATATTAGGAATTCTCGTGGAATTATTTCTATTATTAACAAACGGCCAGTATGCCTCTTTGAGTTTTTGTTTGATATGTGTTTTGAGCCTGCAGTATTGATCAAGAAAATAGTTGAAACAAGTGCGTTTCCACTCTTTGTCCATTTCTGAAAGCGGAGTACTCGTATAGTTACTTTCTATCTAGATAGGCTGGAAAGTCATAGAGCTGAAGTTTTTTTCTTAATTTTTGTATTTCTCGAAGGGGAATACCCATCGAAAACAAAAGAAACTTCAAAACTCAGCAAAGTTAATTCGGAAAAGATTATTATCTGGACAAAAAAGTTCTTGGCCTTCCACTTCTTCATTTTGATACAAAAAATGTGGGAATATTCCAAAGTCACGATTATGAACGAATTGAGTGTTTTTTCTTATAATGTTATCCGTATTTGCTACTGAAGAGCCGATAAGGCAAGTGTCTTACGGCGAAACATTGGATGTCTCGCAGTGAGGATGACAGTGTTTCATGTGAATGAAATTTTAATTCTTTCAATGATTATATTGTGTAGGAATCCTGTGAATCATATCTGATTCGATCCCATCATGAATGCTTGGAATACAAACGGAATAGAAAAACGCGTTTTTCGTATAATTCAGCATTCATATGAAAGTATTTCTTTCGAAAGGATTTTTCTTTCGTGTGATTCAATGTTGCGAAAAGGTTTTTTCTTTTAGTTTGTATCTGAATGTTATTTCTTTGCATTATCTTAACATTTTTGTATAGACTTAATTTTTAAAATTGATTGCTTCCTTCTGTTCTTTGGAAGATTCCCACATGTTTTGTATCAAGATGGAGAATTATAGAAGGCCAAAAACTTTCTTTCCCAAAAATTATTCTCTCCCAAGAATATACCTTTTCAATTTAGGTGTTATATTTTTTTATTTCATTACGTGCTTGTACCTTACAGAAATGCATGTGCATGATCTGCTAATTTTTGTAGGAAGTTTTTATTGAATGCCTTCAATTTTTTTATATACAGATGGAGAATTAGTAGGTCAAAAAAATATTATCCATCAGGTTATTTCAAGAGTTTAGCCAGCTTGGCAAATCTAGCTGTGCCTCTGATATTGGATGCGCAGTAGATCGTCCGGCGGAGGGGGGAAGGAGCTCATTAATATCGAGGAATTCGTGTAGCCATTAGTAGATTAAGTAGAGAGATCAATCTGTGTGGTGAACATGGGTTATATATGTCTTCAAATAGTGAACTAAAAAACAAGGTTCTCAGTGGACAAATCAGAGGAATTGTGGACAGCTTATCACATCTTATGCGAGCGGAAGCAACGGCAGATGGAATGAGAATTCCTCTTGCGGAAGTGAGAAGCAATAGAAATAATGAATGAAACAGTATTGTATTTCAACTTTGAAGGTTCGAGAGCGAGTAGCTGAGGCCACAGGGGTTTGCGTGCGAATCAAATCAGAGATGCCAATAGACAATTCTGAGTATCAGAAAGAAATATTCCATTTGAAAAAAAAACATGCTGAAACCTGAATTATATTTTACATTATCATTTCTAGTAACTATGCGTTCAATTATCTATCATGTATCGGTTGTGAATGTATCTATTCTCCCTTGAATTCTTCATCTCCAATGGGAATATACGTATCTATCAGTTGCAATTATATATCACTCATATTTAACTCATTTTTCACCTTCACAAGAGAAAGACTTGGTGTTTCCGTTCCCTGCTGCTATATTCATAGTTGTTATCACTTACTAAATTTATTCAAGACAATTTTTTTTCTGGTTGTACTTCCTGATAAAGATTGGTAGTTTGACAATTAATCATCAAATGTCATAAGTATTAAAAGAATCTCAAGAGCACAAGTAGAAAAAACTCTGAAAGTGTTTTTGAGATCTTGAAATGATATGAATTATTAAGAATTCCATATTCCATTCGTTTGAATATTATGATATTTTGCAGCAAGTATTCATGATAGAGATTGTAATTATCTCGGTGCAGCTCAACGTTCCCAAGCTGATTTAAAATTCCCACCCTCAACATTGCAATTCAACATTTCCCGATCATGCAATTTCGCCAAATCAACTCGAATATTTCAAATGTAACATTCATTATTTGAAAAGGACTCATAATTTCATCCGATATATTTCAGAGAGTTTCATTTCAAAATTACCCTTTGAAACATGTATTCAATCGAGAAGGGTCAACCATTTCATAGCAGTCTCAGTACACTGAGATTTTTTTTAGTTTATCGTGAATACTCACAGGAGCCCAAACTGATATTCTTATCTTTGATAAGTGTGATATTGAGTTGTATGGCGTTTACAATGTTTGTCATTGTCTGCATTTTGCATGCTGCTATATCAATTGAAGGTAGTACTCAAAAAATATTTTTTTCAATCTATAGAAGGCTTTTATTATCAATGAAATTTCTCTCTCCTCAATTATCAATTCGTGAACAATGTCGTATATCAAACTTTGTGGAAAGTGGAAACTTAACAACCTTAACCAACCTGAGATTTAAATTTGGGCCCTTTATTTTACATTTTTCCAAAATGAATCATATTTATATTATTGATTTGATATATAATCCGACGAGATAATGTTTTTTTGTTCAGTAACTAACGAGTCGAATAATCGTTCAATTATTTGAATTGAAGGGGTTATATTTTTAGGAGGGATTAATTTTTGGGAAAGAAAGTTTTTGGCTTTCTACTACCCCATTTTGATACAAAAAAGGGGATGAGGGAATCTTCTAAAGAAGTGAAGGAAGTAATCAATTTGAAAATAAGTAACTCTATACATGAATGTGTAGATCATGCAAAGAAGTAACTTTCAGACACAAACTGAAAGAAAGTCCTCCTGAAACAGATATTTTGAAGATTCCCTCATCCCCTTTTTTGTATCAATATGGAGTAGTAGAAAGCCAAAAACTTCCTTTTCCGTTCAATTATCATCTTATTGTTTTCAAATACATGTGAAAATAATATATGTATTTAGAGACCAAATCAAAAACTAATGATATTGCCGAAAAATAATGGAACTGCAAAGTGTTGCAGCGTCGAGTGTTAATTTTTTTTTAATAACTGAACGTTTTCTGATGAAATTGAAATATTTGTTGCTATTGCTTCAGAATAATGTTATTGAAATTGAGTGATTTCTGGTCAGAGTTACAAATTATTTCTTCAATTTTCAGAAAATATTGGAGGAGACATCAGTGAAGACTTATCAATATCTCTTGGTGGTCTTGGCATGCTTATCAATAATACTCTATTCAAGTTTCATCGTGAGAAGTGGTCTAGATTTTTCAAAGATGTAACAAATATTGATACATTTGGAAAACCCACTGATTTTGACAAAGTTAAAAATCGAGGCAATTTCTTCTCTTACCTCTACATCATCTATTGCACTGTTGGAACAATCGTGTACTCATGTGTAGGTGTCCTAGAATCATCTTGTGAAGATATCGGCGAAGACACAAAACGCAAATCGATATGCGGAACATTATCACCCATATGGCTGCCTGTTGAAAACGTAACTATGACAACAAGAAATTTTATACTGCTGATTCAATACATCCTTGCCAACTACATCATAACACCTTCAGCAATTATATGTTTTTTACCATTCGAAACAACAGAATTGCTTATTACTCATATTAGCTTTCTCAAAGAGAAAATACTGGATATATTTCAGTGTGAAGACGAAGAGTTGAGAAAAAACCGTTTACGATATTGTGTCACCTATCATACTCATATTTTGAGGTGAGTATTTGATTTCAATAATGAGTGAATATCGCATGAATGAGTTGACTAATGAGAACTGAATTTGAGATGAATTGAAGCTTTTTCTACTACCTGCTATTTCTAAATCGTAGGAGTGAACTTTCAACTTATTTTTAATATCATGTCTACACCTCAAAAAAAAAATTTCGAATTCAAGATCCCAACAAAACATTCAGTTCTTTTCATGCAGGCATCATGAATAGTTGTTTGAACCAAAACTACCTTTATTGTTAGATAGGACCAGGTAGTTGATCATTCGAATGACCACCTCGATTTCCTTATCTAACTCCCATCGATTTTACCAATGGAGCCTATCTATGACAGAATGTCATAGATACAATCTTTCACCTGGTTTGTCGTTAGCTTCAGTCCACAGTTCTTAAGTGCCATGATGAGATGTTTGAAGTAGTCAGGAAGGCTAACAGAAATTGTTGCTGCTATCACTCCGCTCTTTTTTCCATTCATTTCAAACGGAAAATAAACGAATATTTGATGATAAAAGTTATGAGAACTAGAATGTGACGTTATTATAACTACATAAAAAAACATTAACTATTTGAAGAATTAGACAAAGACCTGTTATTTCGATACTTGATAGATAGAACATTCCATGAAATATGTAATGGAATCAGCCGATACTTGATAAAAATCCATAACGTTTTCGAGTAACACTCTATTGTGGGATTTTCAAAAACTTCAACAGTTTACAAAATCGTAAAACGTGGTTTGCTATATAATAGTTTTTTCAGACGTGTTCATAATCTGTAGTGTTCAATCTATGTAATATGAACACGTCTAAGAACGATATTGTACAGCGAAACACGTATTTTGGTTTTGTAACCTGTTTGGTGAAAATCTCGTGTTAAGAAGTTACTTGAATACATTTTTCAGAATACGTATTTTCAATCGTCTTTGGGAATTGCGTTAATTTCGAGATGTAATATGCAGGCCTTTTTTTTAGCTGATATCACTANTTCAGAACGAATTTGTTCAAGAAATGATTGATGACAATTTGAACAGTCAATTCGAGATCGCGTGAGACAGTAACTTGGAAAATGTAACGTGTAGCATTCCGTTATGTTGATCATTTTCTACTATTTCGTTACTTTCTCTTTGGCAACTATTTCTTTTTCGATGAGATGCATTACGGTAGTGTCAACTATGTGCTTGCCACAATATTCAGAAATTTGAATTCTCATCGGAAAACAAGTTGAATGATGGAATTTTGATGAAGTATTTTGAAAGAAACGTCAAGAAATACATATTTTCTAATGTCAATGAATTTTCCTGCTGAAAAAACGGCCTGTATAATTTTTTCCATGCTTGCAAAATTCAGTGAATATCTAAACATTGTTACAGATTGCTTCCGCTCAATAGCTATTTTCAATTTGCACCAACTCAAAACTACCACTTAGGTTGCTTTATTGGTCTGACTGTGTATGGAGTATAAATCATCAGAGCTGATCGCTTCACCTGAAATGATGAAACATATTAGACCAGTTCTACTGGTATTACTAATAATCTCACCTTCTGTTGATTTCATGAATTTGTTTTTCGAGTTCCCAGGATGGAAATTGTATTTCGTTGTTTTAAATCTTGACTAGTAATCTCGCGTAGTCCCAAAGTGTGACAGATGTTGAAATGTTGGCCTCAGTCGATAAACCTTGTAGCCAAAATATATTAGGTGATGCATTCACTTCGATTCACAATACTTCGATCCACAATATTATACATTCGCTACACTTCACAAACACTATATTTCATTGCGTGCTGCAGTAGAACAATCTTAAAGTGAGATTATCGTAGTAATTATTCATCGATGAGAGACTAGAAAATCTTGAACTACCTACTACCCAGCACAGTAATTGATTCATAAAAACTGCTTTATTGCTAATAATTGTCTGTTATATCATTTCAAACTTCTATCTATCTATATATACTGAAAGGCCTACAGTATCCATCACAGTACGTAGCATTATCGATTTAGGATCGAGTTGAATTGCATAAAATTGTGAATCTAATAAATCAGACCTTCTTCAACAACTCCGATATTGACAGTAGCGAAGATAAAATGAGTTTCATTAAAAGTGACCCAAAAGCGTTTTGCTAATATGTTTGTTCTGTACGGTTCAATCCTAGGTATATCTTCGCATTCAACAATGTTGAATTTTATCTTTCCTCACACTAATCTACTTGGGCTAGCCGAAAGAAAATTCAACTCTCAATTTTTTGTGGTATGTTACCCCGTTATGGATATATCTTATATCCCATGATTTTCTTCGAGTTAGTGAAGATGCATATTTTTCAATCAATTTCAATCTGTATTGCTACAGGAGTATTTAGAAAGTGAGAAATGTACTGTTTTATTTCCTTAATATAACAGATTGAAAATGAACAAGTATCTAGAGGATACAGTTATTTTTTTGGATTTATTTATTGAATTAGGATTCCCCGATATACAGGTTAGCTAACTTGAAATATAAATCAGTGATACAAAATAATTTTATTAGAATGCCATCGTTATTCCATTTCAAAAATGTAATTTTTTTTTATTCCTTGTATGAAAAATTATGTATCGTGTATTTCTGACTGTCATCCTAATGAGTTTGTTTTGACATAAATGTACATTATTTTCATTATTCAACCAAATAGTCAGTAATACATTTCGCATCGCAGGCACGTCTCATATGAACCATCTGATGTGAGTTGAAATAAATATGAATTTTACTACCATACTATTCATAATAGGTAATAATTATATGATTTCCATAATCATTTTCATATGTTATATGGGGTTTTTTATGCCAGCCAGAACGCATGGTGTTTCTAGACTAGCCCGTAATCGCAATAGATTCCCAGGAAAATTCTGGGCCAGTACATATGGCCTACATACCCCAGAAACATAGGAAATGTAGGCCTCTCATACATTTCATTCATTCGGAATCTGAATTGTATTGAAAATTATATTTCAGAATGGCAGATCAGCTGAAATATATGGTGAAGTTCAGCGTAGGTCACATGTCCCTGATATGCGCAATGGTGTTTGGATGTATTGGAAATCAAATATTCAAAGTGAGTATATTTCAAAGCTTATCATTTCCTTGATGCATTAGATGACGATGATTCATGTTACTTATGTGAAATGACACTGAAATGAGTGCTTGAAACAGAGTCGCGAGCCGGCGAAAACCTGAAAGACGTCAATATGAGTATTTGAATGATGAATAAGAAAGCCATAACTATTGGCTAAAATTGTTTGCGAAACAAGTGTCACACCGGATGAATGGTTGATGACTGCAAATAGAGTAAATTGTTTCAACATGAAGCAACACATTCTCAGAAGTTCAGTGAACAACTTTGTCAAATACAAATCTATAACGAGAAATCACACATTGAAACAGTATTTACTTTTGCAGTAGTCTGACTACCATATGTCTTATGTAATATCACTTCAAACCCAAAATGATGTATTTCAAGACCGGCCAAAACCCCAAGGCAACCTCAGGATCACCTCTCGGGTATTTTACTAGTGCCGTGTAACGCTAGTTGCACACACACCGATTTTGGACGGCCGACTTTGTACACCAAATTCCAATAGTGAACCACATGTGGAAACGGGACCTTGCACACACGTCGACCGGTGATCGTCGCCGGTAAAATACCGGTGAGCAGCCGTCCACTGCCACTGTCTCGCCGGCAGTATCGGGAAGTAGTGGCGTACATGACTAAATACACTCTTGCATACTCATCGCTTTTTTACCGACCATTCCAGTTTCGGATGCTTGGTGAAATTGTAGTTACTACGCATTAACTTTGTTTTGGTAGTGCGTGCTAATTACGACAACAAAGGAACACATTGTTTGACCGATGAAAATCCGGTGAGTGTGCAAGCACCCGCTACCAATAAAATATCGGTCGATTTTATACTGGCCGTCCAAAATCGGTGTATGTGCAACTATTGAACGAAGAATATGTCCCAGAGAGATTCTTCGAGGAGCGCAAACTATCCGTACTATTACCATCCAGCCATGCCTACTGAAACTTCAATTGAAATCAATAATACATTATCAAAATACAAATATGGAACTTTCATCAATTTGCGATCTGATTCAATTCATTAAATCCTTTGCCACAACTGTGATGGGTAGAACGTTGACAGACCAGCTACGTTGTATGCTCGTTCTGTTCTGCAGCCTCAAGGACATTCTGTTAATGAATTTTGGGAGAATGCAGAAAAATGTATTTCGTATCATAACCGATAGTAACCGATACCTTTCATTGAGGCGTTTGCGAGACAGCAAAAATCGAGCCGATAACAAATTTTATAAGACGGCTCGCTTATAAACACTTCAAGTAGTTTCTCCCCAAAAGCCCACTGACTAGTGAGGTCACGGCTATTAGATCTCACCATAATCAGCCCGGCTGACACGGTGGATTGATTTATGAATCCTCGGAAATTTTTCACCAACGGCGCGGCGTGTAGAAGACCGCTAGTAAGTTCATGAATAAACTAGCAACGAAAACTCGTATCGTTAGTTCTGTACTGGTTTTCATGAACTGTTTCCTGAAGTATCCGGTCAATTCTGATTGGAGATGCGAACATCACTTGTAACCTTGTTAGTCTGGAACAGAAAGGTTGGAGATTTGTCTCTCTTCTATAGATACTTTCACAGCAAGTGTTCAAGTGACTTGGCACATTTAATTCCACCAAGAGCGGTACATATCACAAATACCTGACGGACTTTGGCTGCCAATCGTTTCAACTGAGTTCACCTCGAACTCCACTGTTTAGGGGTTTAGGAGTTCATGTGGATTAAACTTCCTGAGAACGTTTTTCCAAATGGATTCAATTTTCAGCGATTCAAATCCAAGGTGAACAACTACTTTCCAACAGGCCCCGCTCTCAGAGCGCCTTAGGGTTTGTCCTGTAGTGCTTGTAGTTTGTCCTTGAAAAAACCATTGCGGTGACCATCTTTGAATGACTTCAACATTGATTACATAAAATGGTATGCAGGAGGCACATGAGTAATACAGATGAAACATCATTTCTTGATGAATGCAACCCTCTAACATTGCGGGAGGTGTTCCTCACTGCCTCCTCCCAGTGGGGCCGTGAGGGCACGTGTATAACAAAGAGAAAGTCATTTACACTCCACCCTTCAGGTGATGAATATTGGAATGTAGATGTGATATTTTGAATTTTCAATAAAGGATTTTTAGCTTTGACTTTGGTTTGTCAAAATATCAACAGACATTTCATAGGTCGCAAATATTGTACTTCTGAATCTACATTTTCAAGTGCTTTCCGAATGAAATGATTCTAAATAACAATCTGCTTGCTCCTGACGTGGAATGTAGGATTTTCAGCTCAACTGCTATTCTGTCACTGAAAACTAAAATGAAAACTCTTTTTTTCTCCCCACCTTCATTTGTAAATAATGTTACTGCAGTTTTGTCCTATGAGGACATTTTGGAACAATTATAATGAATTGTAATTGTCTGTGGTCAAAAAAGAAGGAAAGTTTTAATTCTCATTTTTCATCATGAACTCCTACCACGTAGTAACGGCTACATCCATCAATTTATTGAAAACAAAAATGTCTGCTGATTTTTGAAACTCAACTCCGCTAGGAACCTACGATCATATATAACTTTCTTGGCGGAATATATCACAGTCATGTACTTCGCTTCAGTTGAAGATAATGCAACGGAATGTTGTTTTCTTGATCAAAGTGAGGACACAGTTCAGTCCTAACCAAGTGAGAACCGGGTGAAGGAGTTGACTGGGAATGTTCTAACTTTTAACCTAGCCGCGGCCTCTGTTTTCCAATTGAAAAATGGAAAATATACTCGTAAAAATCTGAATAGAAAAAAGTTTTTTTTCTTCAATATACATCTACAGAGTGAGGACTGTAGTATTCTCCTAGCGAAGTGAGGTCCGTATATATTTTTCAAAGATCCTAACAATGTGAGGACATATATACACGTATTAATTCATCATAAAGGCAAGGTGAGGTCCATTAAACGTTGCCGAGTTTTTCACATGTGAAACAGATGGATGCAAGGTGGATAAGAGATATGTATATTAGCGAAGATTCAAAGTTTTATTGTTGCGTCGTGGAAACTACTGCGTAATTCAAGTTAGTATTGATTAGAATAAACTGAAATATACATGTTGTTTATGTTTTGAGTATTTCAGTTTCACAAATACAATTTTCATGGTGGACAGAAAACCATAGATTTTGAATATGGTGAAAAATAATAACGAGGTTTTAGACCGGTTGTGGATTCCAAAATATGAAAGTACCAAGGGACTTGGCAGGAATGAGATCAATAGTCTAGTTCACATGTACCATTTTCTTCTAAAATTTTTATATAGTCTCCGAAAATTACGATCAAGGTGTCATTCGATTCACATTGTCACCTAGAAAGTTTGA